TGACATTATGAAGGCATTGTCTACTATATACAGTTATGGCCAAAAATATTGGCATCCCTGCATTTCTGTCAGAAAATCCACCACTTCACTTAGAAAATTGTTGCAGATACAAATGTTTAGGCATTCTCATGTTTATTTATTTTATTTGTATAAGTATGACACACAAAAGTGGAGAAACAAAAAGCCAAATCTGACAAAACCCCAAAAATGGACTGGTCAAAATTGTTGGCACCCTCCATTTAATATTTGAAGGCACACCCCTTGGAAAAAATAACTGAAGTCAATCGCTTCCTGTAGCCATCAGTGAGTTTCCTACAACACTCTACTTGGATTTTGTACCACTCTTCTTTTGCCAACTGCTCCAGGTCTCTCAGATTGGAAGGGTCTCTTTTCCCAACTGGTTTGAGATCTCTCCACAGGTGATCTATGGGACTGAGATCTGGACTCATTGCTGCCCGGTTCAGTATTCTCCAGCACTTTGTCTGAAACCATTTTTGGGTGCTTTTTGACGTGTGCTCTGGGTCATTGTCCTGCTGTAAGACCCATGACCTCTGACGGAGACCCAACTTTCTGACACTGGGCCCTACATTGCACCCCATAATTCTTTCGTAGTCCTTCAGATTTCATAATGCCATGCATACAGTCCAGACATCCAGTGCCTGAAGCAGCAAAGCAACCCCAAAACATCAGTGAACCTCCACCATATTTGAATGTAGAGACTGTGTTCTTTTCTTTACAGGTCCAATTTCTTAGAATGATGTGTTTTACCAAAAAGCTGTAATTTTGTTTCATCTGTCCACAGCACATTCTCCAAAAGGATTTTGGCTTCCTCAGATATGTTTTGGCAAACGCCAATCTGGCTTTTTTGTATTTCTTTGTCAGCAGTGGGGTCCTTCTGGGTCTCCTACCATAGCGTCCCTTTTCATTTAGATGATGACATATAATGTGAGCTGACACAGTTGTACCCTGTGCCTGAAGGTCAGTTTGAATTTGTCTGGAAATTGATTGAGGTTCTTTATCCACCATTCAACAATCCTTTGTTGCAATCTTTGATCAATCTTTCTCTTTCATCCACATCCAGGGAGATTGGCTACAGTGCCATGAGCTGTAAACTTCTTGACAATGCTGCGCACAGTGAACACAGGAATATTAATATCTCTGGAGATGGACTTGTAAACTTGAGGTTGTCCATGTTTTTCCACAATTTTTGTACTCCAATCCTCACACAATTCTTTGTTGCTGCTCTTTCTCTTCCCCATGCTTCATGTGGCACCAGCGGTGTATTTATGTTTTGTGCTGCCCTAGGCAACAAAAATCACTGCCCCCTCCCCAGTGCACCCCCACTGTCTCTAGTTCACCAACGTTTGCTGGTTGGAACTTAGTGGTCAGCCACATCTTTCTGTGAAGGTGTCAGTTAGTGGTATGAGCAGCGAGAAGGTATCAGTTAGTGATATGAGCGGTGTGAAGGTGTCAGTTAGTGGTATGACTGGTGCCTAGGTGTCAGTGATATGAGTCAGTCACCTGGCAGTTTCTGGTCAGTCACCTAGCAGTTTCTGATCAGCCTTTCAGCTCTCACCCAATAGTATACATCGTATACACAGCAGTAGGATGGAGATCACTCACCAGGCTTGGCGGAGAGCAAGGGGGAGGGGGGCATGTACTGCTGGTGTGTATCATCCTCTCAGCCGCATTTCCCTTCCCTCTTCCACCTCTGTGACAGAGATCCTTCCCTCCCATGGACACTGCCATCCTCCGGGATCATCTATCAGCCCTGGCTCCCCACCACCATCCACTGCAGAGAGCTCCGACCCTCAGAGCAGCCTACAGCCTGTCCGGGCGTACTGCATGCTGGGGGTTGTAGTTATTCCCCCATACAGCCTGCTGGGATTGTAGTCTTCTGTAGAGGCAGCAGGTTGGAGGCGGGGAAAGGACTAAAACTCCCAGCATGCAGCACGTACAGCCAGACTGTAAGCTGCTCTGAGGGTTGGAACTCTCTGCAGTGGATGGTGGTGGGGAGCCAGGGCTTAGAGATGATCCCAGATGACGGCAGTGTCCAGGGGAAGCCTGATACTTCTCACTGTATTCCTCTGCTGAAATGACATCACTGACATCCCTTCTTCCTAAGGCGTGGCACCTCCCCCCTATACAGTGCCGCCCTAGGCAGGTGCCTTGTGTGCCTCACGGCAAATACACCCATGTGTAGCACAGAGACACACAACAGAAAGGTTGTCAATTTTTCACCATTTTAACTGGTTGCTGATGTGATTTCTATATTGTCAGCATCTGTTAATTGATACAGGCGAGTTTAATTACAAATTACAGGAGCATCACAAACTTGGAATGCAATTATTTCTTACAATTTTGAGAAGGTGCCCAGAATTTTGTCCAGTCCATTGTTGGGGTTTTGCGTGGAATGTGTCAGATTTGGATTTTTGTTTCTCCATTTTTTTGTGCCATACCAATACAAACAAAAGAAATAAACATGAGAATGCCTAAATATTTGTAATTGCAACAATTTTTTGGGCAAAGTGGTGCATTATCTGACAGAAATGCAGAGGTGCCAATATTTTTGCCCATGACTGTGTAAGCAATTGTTTCCTGAAATGGGTAGACTGCTGCGGGCTTGTGGGACATATTATTATTATTATACAGTATTTATAAAGCGCCAATAGTTCGCTCAGCGCTGTACATTACAAAGGGGGACAGAACATGTGACAGAACAATACCAATACAATGCAAAACATGAGGGGATTGAGGGCCCTGCTCTTTCGAGTTTACAATCTAGGAGACATGACTTGGACAATGATGATTGGGACAGATTATGGGAAGCCTCTCACGAGATTGGTATCCTATAGTAGACCAAATGATCCACTATACATTTCTGCACAGTCTATTTGACCCCGGCCAAACTTGCAAAAATTTGTAGGGATCAATCTTCTTCATGCCAAATTTATCCACATTTTCTGGCATTGACCAGCTATTACTACTATCTCTCTCTCTCTCACCACTTCTGTTAGAGAATGCTTCCTCAGTTTAGTGGATACTATAGTATTTATGATTGCCATTCATAGATTACTCACACTGTTACTTCATTATGCTACAAAACTCATCAGTTTGTCCTGGAAGAAGTCCTCGGTGCCTGCTCTTTCAGCTTGGAAAGCACGGGTATACAAGGCTATGCCCTTCTACAAACCTATTTACTCTTAGGGCTCATGTACACTGCAGCTGATAAACTCACATTTAGGAGCTGTTCAGTGTTTTTTTTTTTTTTTCAGCAGCCCCTGAACTCACCGTAATGTTTTTATGTGTCCATGTACACATCTTTGTTTACAGGCATTTGAGTTTACAGTTGTTTTTTTGAACGCAGAAAACTTGCATTCAGCAGTTGATTTTATCAGCGTTTCAAACGCAAAACACTTGTAAACGTGGCAAATCGCGTTTATAAGCGTTTGCATCTGAACATTTTTTTTAACTCTTCCAGTTCCCGATGCTGTCCACAGCCTTTTTTCATCATGAAAAATGCATGTGAAGCGTGTTTAAGGTACTCAGATGGACAAACACTGAAAACAGGATGTTCCTACCAAGCTTGTCACACATTGTAATGACCATGGACAAACACTGAAAACAGGATGTTCCTACCAAGCTTGTCACACATTGTAATGACCAATTCACACCTCAGACCTCTCCCACCCGTGGAAACAAAAGATATGTCAATGACCATTCACACCTCAAATTCCTCATGCAGACCCCCTGCCAGGTGACTTTAATGACTCACTCCACCAGACACCTTTCTCACCCTTGGTAACAAAAGAAATGTTAATGAGCAACTCACACCTAAGCTAATCTCACACATACTGCTGTCTCTGCTTCTACTCTCTGTATTTCTCTGAAACAGTCTGAAATAGTTAATAATTTACCACTTTTCAGTGCATTCTGGGCATTTGGGAGGTTCCTCCTGCTTATCTTTAAAAAAACGTACATAAACGCGTTATGCAAACGCGGCTAAACAGACGTTTTTTAACCTATATTTCCAGCAGTCAGTTTCCATCATTCAGAAGCAGGGGCGGACTGACCATTTGGAAACTCGGCCGCTGCCCGAGGGCCCGGGGGTCAGTAGGGGGCCCCATGAGATGCCCCTGGTACCTTTTTCATAGGCTTTTTTGAGTTTGGGCAAGGACACAGGGGCTCCATGATCCCCTATTGTCCGGGGGCCCCATGAGTTGTCAGTCCGCCTCTGTTCAGAAGTGTTCTGTGTACATGGGGCCTAAAAGAGATGTGCCTTCCAAGTTTGATAAAGTCTGGGGGGAGACTGAATTAATTCCACGTCTGCTGCCTTCAGATTAAATCTGTTTTGATATCCTAAGCGCTCACTACCATTTTTCATTCTGTGCTATGTTCATTTGAATGTCTAGTCCTTGACCTCTGTGCAAGTTTTGTTATCTTGGATGCTTTGGCTGGTCTGACTTCCCAGGCTACCCTTGGGATAGACCTTTCACTGTTAGTGTATGCAATTAGGATGAAGAGTATGCTGTATTAGTCATAGGTGATCATTTTGATTGGTTTTCATTGTCTATACCTTGTATATGCACTTTCGAAACTTATACTGAAGTACTGAAAAATACATGGCTAGTCTGCAATAAATCCAGCAAGCCCCTATCTTTCTGTGTACTCTGCAGTGTTATATGAAACTGTGTTATCAACTCTGCCAAACTTACTTCTGTGGACTAGAAAACACTCCCTCTGCATGTTATGGAAAGAGGTGAGTGTAGCCTAGAGTTAGGCTGGCCATACATTATACAATTATCTGGAGATTTTTGGTTTAGATTTACCAAAAACCATATAATAGGAGGACAAACCTAAACAACACTTTCAGTTGTATCCAATTAGGCAGGCCCTTGCACTACACAGTTGAAGGTAAATCTAAAGGAAATTGGGCAGAAAATTGGAAGATAATTGTATAATGTATGGCCAGCCTAAGTGCTGTTCCTTCATAGATACAGTACAGTGTGATTTACTAAAGCTGGTGCACATATGCATGGTAGCTAATCGGCTTCTAACCTCAGCTTGTTCAGTGAAAGTGTTACTAAACCCAGGACCCTGTCTTCCACAGTACACAGAACATGCAAATGCAATTATTTTAGTAAATATAAACTGCTAAATACTTTCTCATCAGCAGTATATAGCAGTCTTGTGACTTTTATCAGTATCCAGCAGAGCACTGGTTAAAGTTTGCAGGAAGAGTTTTCATTCTCCCCTTATTGTCCTATGAGACTGTATAACCCCTGACCCTCTGTCTGGACAGAGCTTATTGACTCTGTGTGGATCACATGCACTCTCCCAAGAAGAAAAAACACTCTAGCAATACACACCAAACTAAGTATGTGCAGCTTGTCCCCAAGGCTCTGTTCTATCAGGAGATGGACTGGGGACAGTAGAAGGGGAGAATCAGAGAAGACAGGATCAAACAGCCTTTTACACAGTGTGGAAGATTCCACAGTCAGTATAGCAAGCATGCTTTACTGCATCTACAGACTGATTTTACTGTTGTGGGTTTAGTGACACTTTAAGCTTTCCAATAAAACCTGGAAGCTGATTGGTTTCTATGCAGAAGCGCACCCGATTTTGCACTCTCCAGCTTAAGTAAATAAACCCAGACAGTATACTTGGTCACTAGAATACAGGAAGTTTGTTACTGTCAGGATCACCAGGTGAAAACAAAGTCGAAAAAGCCTGAAAAAAAGAAAACTAATGCAGCCACCATTTCTAAGGCATGCTGACCTCAGTTCTTTAAAAAAAAAAAAAAGTAACAGAATACATATTTACCCTGTCAGCTACCAGCGTCTAGGCTACATTAGTATTCCCATCAGCAGATGCAGCTGTATCTGGTTGAATTAGTATATAGACTGTATGACAGAAGCGCTTAAGAAACGTTTGCATTGTAAATCAAGTGTAACAATGCATGATAAAATGATAAATATGTCATCCATTAGGACTTTGTTCAAAGGGAAAGTCTATTTTCACCATGTCCACATTTTGAGTTTATAAATTTTAGCTTCTGTTTGTCAGCTTTTGCCATTGCTGAAGAACTGCTGCCAGAAAATTAAATACTTGATAAGACACATAGGGTTTATTTTACTAGATGTGTGAAGCATGTTCACTTTCAGTCCTCATGCACACTGGACGTTTTTACAGCCGCTGTTTTTGGCTTTTGGCGATTTTTCTACAGCCAGTAAACCCTCCAACATATTATCCTATGTGTCCATCCCCACATAGGCTGTAATTAGCGTTTTTTGGCTGGAAAACAAACCCAGAACTAATGGGTTTCTATAAAAAAATGCTCTAACACTGAATAATGCTGAAAAAACATGGCAAAATGTGGTAAAACATGGCAAACTGGCATCTTTGGACTTATTTGGAGCAAAAAACCCCCTTTTTTTTTGGTAAAAAAAACGCCGCTAAACGCTAATGCAAAAACGGTGAAAAACTCACATTTTTAACGTGACTTTACACAGCTAGCATTACCAGCATTATTAAACTGCCCAGTGTTCATGGAGCTTCAAAGTGATTTTTTTCATTTATCTTAGTGAATGAGTTAACACAAAATGGAAAGCCACTTTGCAGAAAATAGCCAGTCATGTATGGCACAAGGTCAATTAAACAGGATTTTGGTCGGACATGATTAAATGATTGAAGTCAGCAAAACTTCACCTCATTCACTAAGAAAAGTGAAAATTTTCTTTGCAAAGAGAAAATTTGCTTAGCTCAGTGAAAGAAGTGAAGTTGTGCTGATTTCAATCATCCAATCATGTGTAAGCAAAAGTCTGGGTTTTTTTTTTCTTGTATATAATTAGGCATTCTTTGCAAAGTATATAAGCATAAATCACCAGCGCCAAATTTAAACAAAATAAAACCAATAAATGCTTCTGCTCGTCAGTGCAAACCTACACCAAAAAATATATCTAAACAACACAAACCGTGCAAAAAAAAATATATATATTAATGTGTTACATCCCAAACAAATTCGGTCATGACATATATGAATAGGATATAAATAATAATAAAATTTTAATAGAACAAAAGTTCCACTTCAAAATAAGTGAAATATGTGAAAAACTCTTCTGAATGATGGAAACTGCTGGAAACCGTAGGTTAAAAAACCGTTAGTTTAGCCATGTTTGCATACCGCGTTTATGCACGTTTACGTTTAGAAGCATTTTTAAAAGATAACCTCAGGAGACCCTCCCAAATGCCCAGAATGCACTGAAAAAAGTAACAAATTAACTATTGCAGACATTTTGAGAGAGCAGAAGCAGAGAGATCAGTATGTGTTGAGATTACCTGTCTTTTCTGGTTGTATTCACTATGGATCCCATCATGAGCATAATGCAGCACATTCTACCATTTTTTTTTTCCTTCACGTGAAACCTGGAACTGACTGCACTGGTGTACTAGGTCCATTTGCATACATGGAAAACGCTTTGCATGCATTTCTGATGATGAAAAAGGCTCTGGACAGCATCTGGACATGGAACAGTTAAAAAACGCTTCTAAATGCAAACGCTTATAAACGCGGTTAACCACATTTACAAGCATTTGCCATTTGAAACACCAGTAAAATCTACTCCTGAACGCAAGTTTGGTGCATTAAAAAAAAACTACTGTAAACGCAACTGCCTGTAAACGACTGTAAACTACATAGTGTACATGGACACATAGGAAAACATTAGGGAGAGTTCAGGGGCTGCTGAAAAAAAAAAAGCTGATTGGTTTCTATGCAGAGCTGCAACAGAGCTCCAGTTGTAGTAAATCAGCCCGAATGCCTTGAAATGGTAATATAACTCAATTGAAGGAATAGAAGATGGCATTTCCTACTCTACTAAAACTCATTTTTGCACTTTTGGTTGGGCAAGATTTAAAATTGAGCTTGCATATCTCGGCTACCTTTTCCTCATCTAATAAACCCTGGTACAGATTGTGGAAATCTATTTTCAGAAATATATAAGTATAGCAATAAATTTGCTGAACACACAAAGGCATTTTCCCAAACACTGCTTCCAGGTGACATGGATTATTTGAACTGGGCATAAAATGTCATTTTTTTTTTTCTTTCTTTTTACTTTTGCTGTCAACAGACAGCTCCTAAAATGAACAGTGCTGGCTGAAAATGCCGGCCTTTGCTGACACAGCTTTCTTGGTTGTGTTAAATGATTTCTGCTTGCTGGATGATGTGAGGGTAATACTAAACAGAGACTGCAGCGGAGCCATATGGATTGTGTTTGCCCTTGAACAGTAATGGGCTTCTCTTCTAATCGAGCATATTACAGCTCTGGCTGTTGTAAACAATTTGATGTGCAGGCATCCTTTTGTGTCTGCTGGCTGTTTACAGATCAGCTGGCTAAATACGTGCGCAAAATTCCCCCGGCTCTGTATAATCAGTACATTCAGTTAAAAGTAGACACCAATAGAACTAAATATGTGTTTGTGTGGCTTGTGTTTTTCATAGAGCTAATTTGCATAGAGATTGGAAAAAATTAAGTGTGACATTTGGCTATACTATTCATTTTTACTGATCCACACCAGTATGTTTCTGATAACAGCAATATAAGCAATGGAAATCATTCTACCAATGATTTGTGCAGTTTATGGATTTTTTAATATAAGTTGCTTTATTTGTGCCACAAATATCTGCATATAACTGTCTATATTTCTTGCTTTGTCTAATGAGCTATTATTTTTAGAGGAGCATAGGATACTAGATTTAGCTTCTATGAAAATACAGTATGAATTTTAATTACCAGGAGCTCAGGTCTTAATAGTGCTTTGTATGTTAGGCCTTCTGTACAAATGAACAGCCAGTTTTGAATGGTCTCTGGCTGAAACTCAATTTCTACATTCTTTTTTTTTTTCCCCTTTTGTCATAGCTGAGTCATTCCTCACACGTATTTATACTGATCAATAGAGTCATCCAGGCTAAGCTGGAATATGCATGCATGTCAGTAGAGAATCTAGCACAAAAAATACAATTTGTACAAAACTATAATAATACACAAAGCAACATTTTCTTACATAAAACAAATGATCTGATCGTAAATGATTTTTTTTTGTGTAAACCCTTGTGAAGCAAGACTTGGAAAATAAGGAGCAGCACTGTTTGTCAGTGAGGATTGCTGAGCACAACCTAACATATAAAAAGTCAGGGCACTGGACTTGATAGTTGTCTGTCTTCCAGAAGCCTGGAACATGTATGAAGCATGTAAAGTTAGATGACCTGCTATGCATATTTGTTTAGGTCAGTGACTCAGAATACCTTGAAGAGAGACCCAAAGAGGAGCTGAACCTGTAGAAGCGCATATCACCATACTTCCACTACACACGTGGTGGTAAAATGGGTCACCAAGTCTCTTTTGTATATATGCTATAAGGGATGTTCGATCTGTGGTATTGGTTGGTTGTTGCTGTTTTTTCCTAACATGCATTTGTTTGATTATGCTGTAGGTCAGGCGTCTCCAAACTTTCTAAACAAAGGGACAGTTTTCCGTCCTTCAGACTTTAGGGGGGGGGGGCAGATTTTGCCAAGTGGAGAGTGAACAGTGCCCCATCTTTTGTTCCCCATTGTTGGTGTCAGTTGGAGGAATAGTGCTTCCTCATTGGTGTCAGAAGGAAAAGTTCCTGATTGTTGGTGCCAGCGAAAGGAATTGTGTCCCATTGTTGGTGTCAATAGGCATCATAGTGCCCTATGTTTGATGTCATTGGCAGGAATTATGCCCCATCATTGATGTCAGAGGAAGGAAAAATGCCTCAAGGGCCAGATGTAGGCAAGCAAACTCACATGGAAGAAATATATACTTGAAATATATTTTTAAAATATTCCTCCCAAATATATAAATGACATATATTTGAAATACTACAATTTTGGCCATATTCAATATATTTAAAAAAAATATATATATCTATATATATATATATATATATATATATATATATATATATATATATATATATATATATCAATATCATGTTGAGATGCATTTTTTATATATTGAAAAATATTTTTAAAAATATAATTTTTTTAAATATATTCAGATTTTTTTAACATAAAAAACAAAAAAAATGTTTTAACATATATTTTTACATATATTTGTAAATGCATTCCAAAAATGTAGAATTGTATTTTTTAAAGACATACAGTATATTTGAAATGTATTTTTAAAAATATTCTTCATATATTTTGTAATAAAAACACATTTCAACATAGA